ATATTGTGTGAAATATTGCACAAATTAGAAATAGTTACATAAATCTGTTCACCCGTTTTGTGTTTACTCCTATGATGGAAGGGCAAAGTTCCCCACTGCCTTGAGAACCATAAACTGGTCAGCAAGTCAGCTTTCTTTGGTGTGCGAGCGTGCCACTGCTAGTAAAAAATTCTAGCAGACTTAGTTTGGAATGGATAACTTGCGCCCCAAGTTACTGATTTCTGCAAACAAACGATTGTGAATTTGGGTGAGGAATATCTCCCAAGTAAGTTCTTTTCTTGCCTCAGACTGGTGAGGACTTTAACAATTTATCTCAGTATAAAGAGGTTGTTCTGGCCAGAATGGTTGATGGAATTTAAACTGTTTTTTAGGCGGAACTGCCTTTTACGAAAATAACAATGAATGCTTATGCTAGAGAGAGATGAAGAGACAGCTGGGACTCCGTTTCTGTCGAGATGGAAGGTTCTGATCTGGGCTGGACTGGAAATGCTTGGGCTGGACTGGACCGTTGACAACTTTGACTGCTAGACTTCAACTGTAAATCGATACCAAAGGTTGATTCTGGCAGAGCTTCAATGTACCTCATGCTTTTGTGAAGCTTCCGAGTGGGCAGAACTGCAGTTTTCTCAGTCTGCACGGGTAGGAGTGACTTTTTTTTGAGGACTTCAGTGGGCTAGAGACTGCACTGTGAATTTTGTTGAAGTTTTCCATATTTGGAGGAAACTCAAGCTCTATCTGTCTTGGTTATTGCTGAACCAAATTTATAACGAGAGAAACCTCGTTTTGAATGACTTGCTTCTTAAGTCTGGACCTTGGGAATTTTGATCTGAATCTGGTTTCACTTGAAATTCAAGTGGGCTTGTTGGTTGAGTTTGAGCTGTCTATTTGACGGTTTCCTTGTGTAAGATCTTTGTTTGATTTGATGATGAATTTTTTGTTGTCCTTTTACCCTGTTCACTCCCCCTTGTATTTATAGTAAAAAATGATAATGGGCGGCAAATCTTTTCAAAAGATATCTCTCCCCTTTTTTCTTTTAAAATGGAAAGAAAGAAAGTAGGATTTTATCAGTTTGGCAGATAGGTTTTCAAAATAGGCAATCACTTCCCTGTTTTTCTTGAAAAAGAACCTAATCTCTTCTCTTAATTCCAACTGCCCCTTGTGAGATTTCATCCGTGATGGTTAGTTTGATTTCTTTTCTGGACAGCTCCCTGCTTTCCTGCTTATCTCTCTCTGAGTTTGTAGCTTGCTTATCTCATTGGGAGAATTACCCTCTCTGTAGAATAGAAGAAAAAATCTCTGAATTTATATATATATAAGAGGGATTTTGATCTTCAGATTTTTTTAGGGTCTTTTCAGAATAGCTTGATGACATAAACCTTTCAATCACTTCTTTCGTGACAGTTGCTATTGTTGACTTTCCTTTATCCCAGAGATGTCACGTGGGATTTGTTTCCTGTCTCTGGGCTCCCCCCTTTTTGTCACAACGGGCTTGTGAGGCCCATGCTTTGGGCTAGGCTTTTCTAGATTTTGGGCTTCCAATTTCCTGTTTCTCGAAGACCAAATTGCTTTGATTTTTTGCAGCCTTACTCTGGGCCTCATTTTCGCTGGGCTGAGTGTGTCAATTTTTAGGCCCAAACAAAATCAACATATACAACTCAAGTTTCCTAGTTCTATAAAGGAGCAGCTATATTGTCACGACCCGATTCGAAAATAAGGAATATTCCCGAATTATGATATGACTCACAGCCTGATTCAAGAATATTTCTTATTTTCAAATCGGGTCATGACATATACCTCTCCAAGCTCTCTTCTTCTTCTCAGCAATGTTGCTTGCAACTAGTCTATCATGACAATGGCAGCTTCATCCTTCAGCTCAATCATCTCATGGCACCAATAGCATAGCATTACTCAAACAAATGCAGTGATGAAATGTTGATTTAAGAAAGGATCAATTTTCTCAAGAAATCATTCTTGGAGAAAATCAATCTTAAAATCTAAACTCTGGATCTAGAATGATATATATGATTTAGGACAACTAGATGCAGATATAGTAATCACAAGCAGATTTGTTCTAAAATCTCATAAATGCAACCTCATGGCCTTCACAAAGAAAAGCATAGAGAAAATATTGAGCCTTCAAACTTTCCAAAAGTGCAAGGTATTTTTTGTGAAGTGACTTCACCTTAAAAATTTGCCTCCTTATAGCAAGGAGAGTAAAAGGCTGCCCTAGAATAAAAACTACAGTTGTCAGCAATGTATTGGCTGTCAAATAAGATAAAAAGAATTTTTTGGACAGAGAAACAAAAACTGACAGAAACGGTAAAATTGTATCGTCATGATGACAGGTCATCCAGGTGAACTAGCAACCAAAGATGCAATACAATGCATGATTTTACCTTTATTGAAAAATTCCATTGCCGCCTTGTTGAAGAAAAACCAACGTGACAATCTGTCTGTGAGGTCCACAATAAGCCATCAACCTTAAACTAATCTATATCCTTTTGAGCAAGCTTATTACAAGAAATTATACACATGGCAAGGAAAGCTAAAAACCAATCGATTACTTACAACCTTACGAACTCCCCTTTTTGGCTTTCCTTGAGCAAAAAAAACTTTAACTCACACTCTCAACACATAACCCAAACATTGAGACATGACATCAAAAGGTATCTGCAAGACAAACACAATCTCGACAAACATCAAGTGCAAATAGTTCATAGAATATGAAACAGGTTGGGTTGACAAAAATATATGTATATATATATAGTGCGTATAGAAATTGCGTCACATAATATAAGGAGAGAATCAAAATATTCAAAAGAGTTTAAGCCATGCAAAAGACAATACTCCACCATACAAAAACACACAACACTCCCCTATACAAACATAAATCACTCCCCCATGAGAAAACATAAATCACTCCCCCATGAGAAAACATAAATCACTCCTCCATAACAAAACATAAATCCAAGCAGCACAACCTAATGACCAGAGAACTCATTAGAACTCCTCAAAACCATCAGAAGCTTCAGAATGAGAGTCAGAATTATCTAAGCAATATCCATTGTAGGATCATCACGAAGAAAACCCTTCAAATACTGAATATTGTGCTCATAATGCCGAATTTTCTTATGCAGATTAATGAGTGAGATGACAGTTTGTCACTCAAGGAGTTAGAGGAATGAGAGTAGGGAAAAGGGGCATCATTACATATATAAACACCAAGAACAGGAACAGAGTTGTGTCCGCCAAGTGAGGTGATGAGAGAATGAAATATCATAGAGCCCTTATACGCCTTGCCATGACTACAAGACTTGGAGCAGATGGCATGAAAGATGATTTCACCAAAAGGAATAGGATCCTTATTAATGAGAGACAACATTAACTAACAGCCAAACAAAGTGGGATTGGAGTTGTTTGCAGTAGGAAAGATGTTACGGCAAATAAAATCCCAGAGAAACTTATACATTGGCTTCAAGTAGGACTTCAGAGGAAGCCCTTTGACAGTTAATGATAGAAAATGATCCACATAGGTGACATACCGAAACTAAGAGATGGTGTATTTAGAGACAACAAAGGCAAATGCATCAAAATTAACGTTTGGACATGGCAAAACCTCTAGGAACCTATCAATGACAAGGGGTTTAACCAACACCACGACATGCCTAACAAAGACACGATTGTTGGTGTGTGCAAGGGTGCATGGGAAATTTGAGTAAAATTCATGCACCACAGAAGCATAGAATTGACAAGAGATGGAATTGATTTTATGCAACTGATAATGAGTAAACAGAGCATCAGCACATGACATGTCATGTAAGTAAAGATCATCCAGAATATACATGTTCTCTAGAACAAATTGCTGCTTGGACACTAAGGAGAAAAACTCAGAAGCTTTAGGGGAGGTGAATTTAGACGAGCCTTTAATGGTGACAGAAGGATCAGAGTTTGGGCAAATCGTGAAGATTAAATATACACTCTAGCAAGAGAGACGTGATGAGGATGGACACGTGTTATAATGTGTGGCACAAGCATCGAGAACAAAAGAAAACATCAAAAGTTGACTTGTTAACTAAAAACACTGAAGGCATGAGAGATCATATGGAACAAAAAATGAAGTTGAAAAGAATTAGTGTCAACCATCCAAGAACTTCAGCACATACGCAGAAATGAACCAAGACTCAATTTTGGGTATGCCGATTAAACACATCAACATTCAAACCTGAGATGGAGAATATGATTAATTTAAGCACTCAGTAGCACACTCAACATGGGATTAAGGAGATCATATATGAGAAAAGACAAATGATGCAGAAAATTGAGCTATTACGAGAGACATATATTAAGCATCCTTGGACAACACATTAGATTATTTGTGGAAAAGATATTTGAACAAAACGTCTTACAGAATCTTGCACATCTCAAACTTAAGTGCTTAATGGCCCAATTTTGCAGCTCTTTGCTCTAAACACCTCAAAATATATCACCTTATACCTTCCTAGAGCACTGACTATATTTGTCACACTTCACACAAAATTTGTACTTATAGTATAATAATTCTTTTGTGTTTATGTATTGTTTTTATTTGATTGAAACCAGTAAGAGAGATGGTCAATTATCTTAACTGAATTTCAGACAGTTTGTAGAGGACATAGAAGATATGTTTTTCAAGAGAAGAATGTATTTTGTAGCCAATTGAGTGAAACACTTATTTAAATCAATCCAATTTTACAAAACATCAGATTCTCATGAGTTTGTAGCCAATCGAGTGAAACACTTATTTAATAAGAACAAACAACAAGTCATAATGTGTTGAAGGCATATATGGACTAAAAAAATTCAATCAATTGAGCAAAAACCAATTGACTTTCTCAAGTCAACAAATTTTTGAAAGTCCAGGGCCTTTGTTAGCATGTCAGCAAGTTGTTTTTCAGAGGGAAAAAATTTCAAAATCAAAATGTTGTTTTCCACAAGATCTTGAATGAAGTGATGCCTTATATCTATGTGCTTAATTCTTGAGTGTTGGACAAGATTTTATGAGATATAAATGGCACTAATGTTGTCACAGTAGACATAAATATCGAAAGACAAAAATCATAGTCAAACAACATTTGTTTCATCAAGAGAAGTTGAGTGCAGTAACTTTCAGCTGCTGCATATTCTGCCTCAGCAGTGGACATGGACACATAATTTTGTTTCTTGCTATGCCAAGCAACAAGATTGTTCCTGATATAGAAGACTCCCCCAGATGTACTCTTCCTATCATCACAACATCCAACCCAATTAGCATCACTAAAACCAACTAAATCATAATTAGTATCATAAGTATACCACAAACCAAAATCAATGGTACCACTTACATACTTGATGATTCTCTTTACACCAATGAGATGAGATTCTTTTGGATCACTTTGGAACCTAGCACCTACTCCCACACTAAAAGCAATGTCTGGTCTACTTGCAGTTAGATAAAGAAGACTGCCAATCATTATTCTATAAATAGTTTGATCTACTGACTTCCCACATAAGTCTTTATGCAATTTAGCACAGGTGCTCATTGGAGTCATGGAAGTTTTTGCCGACTCCATACCAAATTTCTTGACTAAGTTCTTGGCATATTTGGACTAGGAAATTGAGATCCCATCTTGCTCTTGTTTGATTTGTAACCCAAGAAATTTATTAAGTTCACCAACAAGACTCATTTCAAATTCACTAGTCATGACATGGATGAACTCTTGAACATAAGACTCAAAGGTAGACCCAACTATGATATCATCCACGTTGACTTGAGCGATCATAACATCTTTTTTTATTATAAACTTTTTCACAAATAGTGTTTATCCATAGAGCCTCTAACATAGCCATTTCCTAGCAAATGAGAAGATAATCTCTCATACCAAGCTCTAGGTGCTTGTTTCAAACCATAAAGAGTCTTTTTTTGAGCCTAAACACATCATTTGGATGATGAGGATCTCAAAACCCTTAGGTTGTTCAACATAGACCTCTTCATTCAAGATTCTATTCAAAAAAGCGATTTTAACATCCATTTGAAACAATTTGAAATTTAAATGACAAGCAAGAGCAAGAAGAAATCTAACAGACTCCAACCTTGAAACAAAGGCAAAGGTTTCATCAAAATCAACATCCTCCATCTGAGTGCATCCCTGAGCTACAAGTCTAGCCTTGTTCCTAATTACATTACCAAGTTCATCACTTTTGTTCTTAAAGATCCATTTGGTTCCAATGATATTTGTATCCGTAGGCCTAGGAACAAGATACCAAGCTCCTTTTGAACAAACTAATTGAGTTCTTCTTGCATAGCAAGAAGCCATTTCATTTGAAACATAACACACATGATTGATTTCTTTCGCAATTTGATGTCTAGTTCTAACACCTTGGTCATACTGTTTAGCATGACTCTTGCCATTTCTATGAGAACCCTATTCTTCCTCTCAACTGTTGGGATAATTTCAAATGTTAGAAGTTTAGGAAATAAAAAGTTAAAAGGGTTTAGCTATTATGTTTAGTTTATGAGTTGAAGTTAATGTGAGGTTTAGTAGGTATAATGATTATGATTATGTTTAATGTTGAGTTAATATTATGGCCTATAAATAGGCATTGTATCCACTCTATGTGTGGGAGTATTATGTGTGTATCAAGAGTGTGTGTTGTAGTAGAGTATTTGAAGTATTGCTTCACAGAGCACCTACACAAACTTACTTGAGACAAATTTTAATAAGATTGATACTTCAAATACTCTACTACAACACACACTTGATACTCTTTATGCACACTAACATAAAGTGGATACAATGCCTATTTATATGCCATAATATTAACTCAACATTAAACATAATCATAACCATTATACCCACTAAACCTCACATTAACTTCAACTCATAAACTAGACATAATAGCAAAACCATTTAGATTCTAACTTTTTATTTCCTAAACTTCTGACCTTTGAAATTACCCCAACAATCTCTCCCATAATTTCAAAGCTTATTAACGTAGATGCTTTCCCCCCTTACTCATCTTCCACGTCGCTTATGTTCACGATACTTTGAGGCTAGCCAATACCATTTTCTTCTAGATTTTCATCTTGTGTTAGCATTCCAATTTCTAGCTCTAGATCCATCACTTGATCTTGTAGCGTCTCAATATCTTCATTAAGCTTTCCACATTCAATCTTGAAATTCATCAACTCATTAAAGTTGACATCGAGCACTTTACTGATGTCCTGTTCAATCCAATAATTTAGACTTTCTTTCAATTGGTCCTCCAAACCAACATACCCTTTTGGAGACAACCTATGGTTGTACTTGCATTTTTTCCTTTCTCTGTAACTATTCAGTATGCATAGCCACAAATTCTAGGGATAATCTTGAAGCTACAAAGGCGGCAATCCGATTTCTCTAGGAATTTATATAGCTGAGGAGGTTCTTTTAACTTGTCATTGTCATTTGTGAATGGAAGAATAAAGTGCCTCATTAAGGAAGACTTGAAATCCTTACATTTTTTTTAGGCAGATGATAACACCATCTTCTTGCCCCCTTGCCCAACAACATAAGCTATCTAAACAACTTCCCAAATCTGCTCCTTTATATCCTTGAGCAATTCATTCCGTTTCTTGTCCACAAGAGGGACTTTGGTGAGTGCCAAAACACCAATATACGATTGCATCCCAACAGCAGCCTTGCCATGTGGTCTTCCCCTTTTATTGTACTCAACTACGGGTTTAATCTTTTGGATTTTTCTCTTCACAACACAGCTTATTGTGTTGATACCACGAGTTGACTTTGGCTCCTCATCAAATGTCGTTGAGCTATTAGGGTCTTTCTCAGTAGTTGTTGTGAATTTTAGACAACCTGAAAAATGGAGATTATAAAGATTAGTCTAAACACAAATTATACTCGCAAGTGCACAAGGTCAATCGTAATATAGTATGGAAAATACGAGGTCATTCCCACGAGGATTGATTTCAACTACCAATTAGTCTAATCTAATTTACTTCACAAAATAGTTTAACTACTCTAATTATATAGACAAGAAATTAAACACGTAGCATACTCACGTAAACACGAAAGGGGTTTTTGAAAGAATGATTTAATTAACAAAATTAAAAGACAAAATAAGTAGAAAGTCATGAAACACAAGATGAGAAATTCAAATTGATAAAAGCACTAGGAGAATGAATTCACCACTAGTAATCCGATCTAGTCTCCTATTCACCTACCTATTTACTAACAATTTGATGTCGCCGCTTAGTTTTCCTTTTTCATGAATTACATATGGTATTTAGGCTAACTCGTATATTCCTACATGCAATTCACCTATGGTATTTAGGTCAAATATCAACACATAGAAACTCATTAAGATCAATGAAAACCTTGAACAAGCGTGTAAACCCTAGGAGTATGGTATTTACTCTAGACGAATTACAAATCCTAATCGCAAGAAGCAAGCCTCAAATTAAGTATGTTATTTACTCTAATTTGCATCCGATTAACTCAATTAAAAGTCTAGATGGTGAACAAGCATCAAAATAATCAACCGAGTTATTAAGCACAGTGATTAAGAATCCAATATCAAACGGCAATCCATAGATAGGTAAAATAAGAAAACTAGATTATCATACTAGGGCTAAATCATGCCCTAGAAAAAGAAAATTAGTTACACATAATCATAGAATTCGACATAAGTAAAAACATAAGGAAGAAACAATCAAACTTAGCCAATAGCGGTACTCTTCCGGTGTCTCCAATTTCTCCTAGTCTTTTCATGTCTCCCCAAGGGAGTTGTTTCTCATGCTTAAATAAAACACCACACATCTATTCCTACCCTAGCTAGGCTTTTACAGCAGCCCAAGAATAAAGAAAAACCTAATTAAAACATAAATTGAAAATGGGTAAGTAATTGATTCCTCTTCCTACTTGGACTGGGATAACACATCAGCTACTTTGCACACACGTTTGGGATTGTTTCTCCTCCAAGAAAATTTGGGAAAAATATGTAAATTGTAGGTTTTGGTCTTATATTTCCAGCCATATATCTCACGCCTTAAGGAAAAATAGGAAAGTCTTCAAATAGTCATTCTTCCACAACAGCACAGTTTTGACGGGATTGCACCTTATGCTGACTTAACTTCAAAGACTGCTCTCATTGGTAGCTCCGCTAGAAAAATTCCACAATCATCTTCAAGGTCTTAGCTTTCATCTCCAATTAGTCTCGTACTAAAACTCCACCAAAAAGTCGTATTTTTGTTGAAAACAAATTACTTGCTTTGGAAAGCTGAAAATTGAGAAAATAAAGTAATAAGTCCTTTTTAAACCAAATTCTCCAACAAAAACTAAGTATAAAAAGTACATAAATGTGTAAATTTATGGACTTGTCAGCAGTTGAAGTAAATCTCATATTCTTTGAGGTTTTGCTTTGAATTGTTTTGTCTTCATTCATTTGAGCCTTTGAAACTGCAAGCTCCTTACTTTGAGCTTTTGAAACTTGAGCCTCCTTACTTTGAGATTTAGAAACCATGTTTAGAGAAAAATATAACTTGTAAGGGAAAAAACAATGGTTATTTGAAAAATATGACGTAATATTATATTTCACACGTTGCTAGATAACAATTAATGTCATGCTATTTCCTTTAGCATGACGGTAGTTAAGCACTGTCATGGTGTGATAAATAAAAGAGTTTCACTAAAACACTCAAAATAGGAGCTGAAATTATAAAAAAACCCAACACCCAAAACACTTTATAAACACACCCAAAACCCATCATTACACACACTCAAAACCCATTTATAAACACACCCAAAAAATATACAATTGTTGATTTTGGGGTTAATTTTGAGTGTGTTTCTATGTTTAAATAGTGTTTGGGTTTTTTTTATAAATACATGTCCAGGATTGGGTTTATTTATAAATTTGTATAAATAAAATGACGTAAACAAGAAAAAACAGTTGTCTTATTAAGAGGAAAAACATTATTAAAAAAAAAAAAAAAGGGCCAGATCTACCTCTCCCACGATTGTTTTTGTATTTTACTCTTAATAAGACGATGGTTTTGTCTTGTTTATGTCGTTTTAATTATCACACCACAACGCACGACGGAGTTAATTACCGTCATGGTGTGAAAATTAAAACGACGTAAACAAGACAAAACATATTATCTTCTCTTTATTATGATAATATCTAAATTAATGGTATTATCTTATTAAATAAAGATAATATCCCATTAATTAAGACATTTATCCCAATTAATTAATTGGCCAAATAAACTGGTTCAATTAATTAATTAAAAGAGATAATCTTCTTTTCCACGTGGCGCGCTGTGATTGGAGACGAAAATATATGCTCCCACAATCATCATAATCATAATCATCATCAGTCTCCTCATCATCCACTTTGTGGGTTTGGGTTGAATCTTCTTCATGGGTTTGTGGTTATAAGAATCAATGTGTGAGTGTAAATATAACGACTCTTGCCA